CTAAGCTGTGATTGATATGCAGACATGTCTCATATATTCACACTTGTGGATTCGCAAAATTTTAATTGGAATCTCATGAAGTTTAATTCAAGATTTTTCGTAAACATACAGAATTTGTTTTCAGCTAATTTTTGAAGTAATGTATAATTATTCATGATATAAAATCATATAAGAATTTGACTTTAATTTTCATATATAGTTTGGGTCGTCTTCCTTTGCGTGCACATATATTAAACAACTTATAAGTTTTCTGCACATACTTTTATAATGTTAACTGGACTGTACCACAGTATCCTCTACCTTGGACGTATGAAGATTACCTAGTTTTCTTTCTTGTTAATGGCATAGAAAGCAAAAAGCATTAAGTTTACGGTCTTATTTATTACGAAGTTTTACGTAACCGTGAACGTAAAATAAAACGAAAGCGAAGCAATAAATATGATGATAACGCTAGTATGCCCTACTGTAAATGCGCTGGGATGACAAGTACATACGATAGCGTATTGCAGTATATTTCTTGATTTTTATGCATTACTTATAAGGCGTACTTCTAATTACCATTAAAATGCTTTCAGATCATGATTTGAATCATATTTAGAGTAACAATTCTACAAGCAAAATATGTTATTGTCGTTAACTATACAGTTGCGGCTCCTACGGATTTGCGACGGCTTCTGGAACCTTAAGTTGTTCGAGGTATTTTTGCATTGTCAATGTGTTGTGGCCGCCGTCTGCCAAAGCGGCACATTTTAATAACGATTATACAAGAGCTCTTGTTCACGTGTGCAAAGATTAATGCGTTCGCAGTTCCTGCATAATGCTCTGAATGATTATAAGCATGAAACACAACAATAAGGGTTCATAAGACCTGCCTCGTTCAGATTTAGGCAGTCCAGCTTCTCACGAACCGTCCTCCACTTGAAAAACAACACAACTTTACTGCAGGTGGCAAGAGGACATGGTATGTTTTGCACATTTTAGAAAATAACAGGACCGTTTTGTTTACTTGACGTAAATATTCTTTATTGTGTGTCTGATAAAATTAGTTGTCTGTTTTACCCCGTTTTCCTTGACTTTTAACATAAAGACATTGAACAGCTTAAGATGATACTCGAAGTATTAGGATCGCCCTCCAATGAAGACCTAGAGTCCATAAGCAACACAAAGGTGAGTCATATGCCCGGATTGTTTTTTTATGTCGAAATCCAAATTATTGAATTAATATAGCTGAGCAACATTTTTTGACTCAGCTGACCACATCAAATATGACTTAAAAATGGTATTAAGTTGATCTGATAAGATATGAAGTATAATAAAATTAGTATGCGAGAAAAGTTGACCTGAAATGCGAGTGAAAATATCAAAGTGCCAAATTGCGAAATAATTAAAATATCAATAATTTCACAAAATGAGTCAGTAAGTCAAAGCTCACTACTACTTTAAATAGTTTATTCACAATTTTTATGATCCACAAGTCAAGTTATTGAAGTATCTCCAGATAAGCAAAAGGTTGCCTACAGGCCGCCAACGGCATTTTTTATAAATCACACTCTTTGGAATGGGAACCTGCATCTAATACCCGAAGGGCTTATTCGGAATGTTAGGCTACGTGCTGTGAGGCAACATAAATTCAAAATGCAACTTTGCCAATCAAGCCGCAGATGTGGCAAGT